GACACATCTTAAACTGCTTTGTTAACGGCCAGGGGTCTTTAGCTAACGGATTATCAGCCGGATTTGAGTAATAGACTCCTCATTTAGCTTTAATGCGTTTTGCATAGAGAGCAACCTCCCCTCATCACTCTTTAAGATGAATCGGCTCCTCTGCAACAAGATAAAGGGAAAAAAACTTCTAAAGATATTAGTCCGCCAGCAACTGCATAAATCATAACATTTTGCTAATGGAAGCAAAGTTAAAACACTAGCAGCCTCTACTGTGTCTGCAGTGAGTAACAGAGAAAATGCTTTTCCAAATTAAAGCACTTTTCTTTGAATTTCAAACTAATTTTAACTTTACTCCCAACATTAACTTATTTTAGCCCTTCCCGGCAGTTTGTATACCCTAAGACTAGTGAGCATTATAATCACAAGGGTCAATTTTGGGGAATATATTCACTGCAAATCGTCAAGTAATGACCAAGCTTATGTACCGCCAAAGGTACCAGACTTATAAATGATGCAGGCCTGTATTTAAGGCAGACCTTAAAGAACCACCGACAAAACTGTCATCTTCACAAGTGAAATCACTTTTTTTTTTCTTTTCTGTTGTTGTTGTTTTTGTATTTTTGCTTCAGTGAGCCCTTTTCAGATTTCTGGATCTAAGTACCCCCTATAACAGACTACCACCTGTTGCTTTGAAAATTTTATCTAGCATATCCTTGATGTCATGCTAAAATCTCTTTTTTTAATATTTTACCTTTTTTTGTTAGATGTGTGGATTTTTCCACCACATGCTTTAAATGAATAACCCACTTTTGGTAGAACATGACAAACGAAAACACATGAAACAACTGTGCTGCACGATTAAGTCTTTTTTTTCTTAAAGAAAAGCAGCTATTTCAGCATTCCAAGAACCCCAACTCATAGCAACATTATTAAGATTTGGACTAAACAAAACTGTTTGTAAATCTGCCAAGATTTCTGCGAGTTAAGAGTATTTTTGATCATGCAGATAACTCACCTTCCGAATGCTACCATAGAGCGTACCAGAATGGTATACTGGAGTAAGATGGCCTCCGTATATGGACACTGGTAACTCCAGCTGCAACCATCTAGCCTTTTATAGCCTTTTTATATCTATAGCTTGAACTACATGCTGCTTCTGTCACATCCTCCATGCTGCTTTCTGTTTTAATGAACTGATATCTTGGGCTTCTGGGAATGGGAGATGAGAGTGTTGTGGCTGTGCTGCTTTGACAAACAGGTTTGTAAAAAAGAACTTTTATAAATCATGATGTTTTAAGTGTACTGTTCTATGGTATGCTATTTATCTGGTCTACTCAGTAAACTGGGCTCAGCAAGTGATTCGTTCACTAAACATTTACCCCACAGTACTTTCAGTGAAGAATTCACGCTGAACTTGCACCGTTCCCTCGCAAATCACCGCAATGATAAGATCAGAACAGTGGCTGCTGCTTTCAAGGATTTTTTCCCGGCCTACACCATAAATGTGTTTGTTTATTTATATGTTAATTCTACTCCAACTTGGAAAATGCTCTGGTGGCTGGTTATACTTTAAGATCAGTGATTATCTCATTTTGTGGTCAATCAAAAGGGGATTCTGCCTCAGACAGATCATCCAATCATCATGCAGAGGCTGAGCGTCCGGGCCAGCCCACTGCCCCATAGACCTCCAAAAAACGCTGAGCATCCATGGGCGGGACAAAGCCCAGCATTTATCCAATGACTTTCCAGTTTTGCACAGTGGAACAACCCACTCTACAATTCCCAATTGAAGTCAGTAGATGCTCAGCGCCCAACAGCGCTGTGGCGCTGCGGGGATGAATAAGAAGGAAGTTATGTCAGTTACCTGTGATAAGCAGCTAAGCAGTGCATTGTAGTGCATATTTAGTCAATGAAATGTACACACAGCAATACATATTTCACCACTTTTTAAATTTTTTTTTTTTTTAATTTTAGGGGAAGCAATCGCAACTGGATTAGACAGTCATGCATTTGTCAAACTGTGGGTTTTATACAACACTTGTTACATGCTGTGTCCTACTGTATGCAAGCTGTTGTTGTGGCAATTTAGCAGTTTAAAAAAAAGTTAGTTTTCTCCGAGGTACACTTGAACACAACACAACCCTATCTCCCTCTGTTGCTCCTGTCAAGAGCTTGCTACAGCTGGTGACTCTCTTCTCATTACTGCCAACCTAACGTTTTAAGTTTGTTTAATTAAGAACTAAATCTATTAAAACAATGGGGAACAACGGTCGCTATGAAATTGTGTCCCTAAGACCAAAATGATTCCAGAGTGTATAGTTCACTGCTTGATTCGTCCACTGTAAGTGATTCAGGCGTCGCCGCGTGCGGTCCCTCGCTCCCCAGAAGCTCGCCAGGTAATGCTGCGTGCTATGGCAGCTGCGCTGCTGACAGCTCAACTGAAGTGAGAAAGGAACGGATCACTTGATGAAGTGATTTGGTTCAGTACGTTTACTTAAAAGATTTGGTTCTTTTAAATGAATCACTCGCAAATGACATAACACTATCACAGACACCGGAATGAATGAGTTCACAGTAGTGCTCACTAGGCAGCGTTTCACATTCCTCCAAATTATGAATGAATCTGATCTGAGTGACATTAACTCTTACGTTCAACCCAGTATATGTTAACATAAACTCAGTTTACTGTTTACATTCAGATCTGATTTGTGAAAAGAAAATTCTTTTTTTCGCTTCAGAGCAGAAGGTGAAGTGGAGTCAAATCTATCTCATTTGTCTTTCAAATCCAAAGCTAATTTTAGTGTAGGAGATATTAAAACAACTATCCCAACATTTAGGGTTTATGAGTGCCATACTGAAGTTTTGACTTTTGGTATTGTAACAGCTCTCCTCACATGTTGGTTTCCCTCATTTTTAGATGTAAAAGCAGTCTTTGAAAGACACACTTTTGCTCCACACACAGTTGGATATCCTCTAAATAATCCACAGTCTGACAAAGGGTTCTTTCATTCACACCTGTGTGTGTCAGCACTGCCTGCAGGGGACCTTACTGCTTCCCTTTTTGTTTCAATCATATTTAACATGGTGTGTTTGTAACATCATTTAACAAAGCTGATCGTACTGTTTCATTAATTCTCATGTTGTGATTAGATTAATTTGAGTGCATTTCCAGCTGTCTTGACCTGGCTTATTTTGTTGAAACATATTTTTTATTTTCTATTTTGCGAAGCAAAGTAAATTTTTTGCATAATTCAATTTTGCAGGACTTTAAACTACCTCTTGGATCAAGATTCACAGTATGTCCATGACTGTGTTAGGGTATTTGTGCAACACCTTATACTGTACGTGCAGACACAGCTCATTACATTCACACCTTGCTGCACCTTTTGTGTATTTGTTTATCACAAACAGGTGAAAGTTGCATGTAAAAAAATAGATCCACACCACAAACCCAAGGATTGCTTTCTCTCTCTCTTACACACACACACACACACACACACACACACACACACACACACACACACACTAACACACACAGGGACAAAAACACACAGAGATATTCCCCCCCAAACAAACGCAGACAAAGCCGCCCAGGGCCTACCACTGTCATCACACACGCCACTTGGCCCGTCTGTGTGACACGCACAGTTTGTTTGGTAGTTTTAATTTGACAGGGCTCTGAATAGAGCCTCTGAAACACACACATTCACATTCTCTCTCACACACACACACTTTCTCCCACCTACACATACGCACCTTTAATTTGACAGCGCTCTAACAAGAGCCTGCTGCTTGTCAAATGTTCTCCAGTGGCAGCAGGGATCCGCAGAGCCGAGGGGGTTCTGTTCAAGGACATCTGTGAAGAAAAACACACACTCCTCCGCTAACACACACACACTCACACAGAAGCAGGCAGGCTTTGAATAGGCTGAGAGGCAGGCTGCTGCAGCACTCGATGGGAGCGAGGCTGCACACATGCTGAGGGGTTTCGACACTGCTGTTCCTCTCACTCTCCATCCTCCACTCCCTCCACGGCTCTCTGTCCTTTTCTCCCCTTTATCTCTCATTCCATCGCTTTTTCGCCTCTTTTGGTCTTAAGTAGAGGGCTGAGGGGCTGAGATAGACCAGGGGAGATTTTGATGACGGCTGCCTGTCTGCTCCAACGATTCCCTTCCCTTCCCTTCACATACACACACACACAGACACGGACACACACGACACGGACACACACACGGACACACACACACACACACACACACACACACACACACACACACACATTTTTCCTCTCCATTCTTCAGCCCAAAACACCAGGAGACCTTTTAAAGTTACTCAAAGGCAGACGGGACTTTGGTCCTGATCCTCTGGATTTCATTCCATTGAAGATGTGTGTTTGTGTGGACACATTTAGTCCTCTTTGTGTGTGTGTGTGTGTGTGTGTGTGTGTGTGTGTGTGTGTGTGTGTGTGTGTGTGTGCGCGTGAGTGAGTAAAAAAGCTCTCATGCTGTCTCAGACTCACACTTTGCTCATTAGAGGGTAGAGAGGGTGTCTTGAGTGACTTCCCCACGGCGCCCCGCTCAACTTGATCACAAGGCCCTTCCTGTGGAGTGAAAGGGGAAGATGAGGGTTTGACATGGTGTGTGCGAGAGTGTTGTCTGGAAAATACAGCATGACTCACCTGGGTTTGTGTGAATGAAAGGAAATAAGAATATGAGACAGTTGGATTAAGAAGAGAGATGCTGGAATGAAAAGTGAGACATCTGTACATCCATCCAAAATGTATTCAAGAATTAAAAGTTGATTTGATTGTTGGCATACCATATTCCATGACGCAGCTGAGATTATAAATTATAAGATTTAAACCAAACATTTTGTGCTGGTACAATTCTCTCTTCATTTCTGTCATTGTCATTGGATGATATTCAGCACTTTGCACTGTCTACAGTGTCTGATAGAAACAAGCGGAAACTTCTGGTCTTTTGGTGATGCAAAAGTGTTTAAGAGTTTAGAGTTTAAGAGCAAAAATGAATATGTTTACAGCCTGGTTCAAAAAAAAACAAGTACCTCAGGGCTCTCACATTACTCACTATACTTACAATATCAGCAAATCAGAGACACCGCTAACTAGGGATGGGTGATTTGGGCTAAAAAAAAAATAATCATGATAAGATTTGCCATTCTGGCAATAACAATTAAAGTCTCAATAAAAATATTATCATTCCAATCCAAATATTTTGACTCATTTTGTCTTGAGAACACCAGTTGGAAGAGTCAAATAAGATACTCAACCACAAGTTTGAGTGGTAGGTTATGGAGAAAACTAATGACATCAAACAAGTCTCAAATGTGAAAACATTTTTAACACTTGTTGAAAACTCTTATTGCCCAGAGTGAACAGATCCACTGTCTGATGTCAGGCATACATGATTGCACTCATCTAAGTCCCAATCTTAAAGGAAATCCCTCATGTGGAGCTTTGTTCAGTAACAAGCTGCTCAGAAACACCTTCTTCATTTCATAACTTTTGGCCATATTTGTTATTCTGCTCTGTGTGGGCTATGGCTGCAAGTCCGTTGCTCGCGCTTACGTCATCAACTTGCATTTACCATATTTATCATGAGATGACAAATATTTATCATTGAGGATTTTTCTGATGATATATTATGAACTATAATCTATCACCCTTCCCTACTGCTAACTTGACTGGTAGACGAGCAGACTGAATCCATTTGCAAGGAAGCTAAAGGCCCACCTCTGGTAGGTAAAGTTAGGTGGAGTAAGCATCACCAATATGACTATGACCGCCAACATGCCTCAAAACTCTGTGTCAGAAATAACTTCAGTCTCCAACACTACACTCATTTATTAGACAGTCCAGGGTTAGGACACCAAAGCTAGCTATTAGTTGTCTAATCAAAAGCTTAACAAAGCTACTGCTGGCAGCTGGCATTGTGAAACATTACAACATTACAACCTGCAGCCTGATCATGTGAAATGTAGAAAAGAAACTCATGCACATCTTTTGTAGTGTCCCCCACTAGAATAACAATACACAATGGTAACTAAACTCAGAGCTCCTTATGGAATCAGGTCTCTGTTGATTTGTGCTATCTCAGCATCCTTTAACAAGGTAAAGTGTGAGACCAAAATTAAAACTGAGTGTCTCTGACTAAACCTCGACTAAAACAACATGAGACACAAAGACTTAAACATGATTAAAATCAACCAGAATTTGATGAAAACACCTAAGATCAAAGCTAAATTAAATAGCTTCACTTAACTAACAATGGATGACAAAAACATAAGCTTCTGTGATTGTATTTCATGTCATCGTTGCATGTTTCCAAGGATGCAAGTAAAGGGTTATTCCTAAATAAAGAAATCATTTGAATCATTGGCCAGAAAATCAAAGTATGTCAGGCCTGAAATCAAAATGTCAAACATTATACAAAATAAACTCAAATCAGCAGAGAGAGGCACAGAGATTTGCCATTAGATCCTGTGTGTGTGTGTGTGCCTGTCAGATAAAATACTGCACTTCTCCATCCAATGATCTAGAAAGAGGGTTCACAGATTAGCATCCAAAATGTCAACATGTACATAAATATAAACTTATCTTTTTCATTTTCCTGACATTAAACCGAGGTGAAATTGTTGCAGGTTTCTAAAAGAAAGTTCATTTTTTTGGCTTTGCATGATAAACACCGATTGCAGGAGGAAACATCGGCACATTTTAAGGTTTTGATTATATTTCCTGATAAAACTGGCACTGATGTGACTCCGTACTTAAGATGTGCGCAGGTCTTACGATGATGAAAAGCCAGATGGATTATTTGAATCCTGTAAATCACAGCTAAAAGTCAATGTGTAAAGCCAAGGTCTATGAAACTATCAGTGTGGGATAGAGAACACAGACGATATGTTACCGCATTGCCAAGTGCTACCACTTAATACCATTAATCTTGGTGCCCCCCCATCTCTCTCACTCCATCTCAGCGTTGGAGTGCTCAGCGTCCTCTAAAAGTATGGATCTTGACCGCAGCCATTTTCCACAGAAGAGGGAAAGGCTAAAGAGAAAGCGCTGACCCCTCTTCGCCGCAATTTTCCCCTCATCAACTTGTGAGACTTCATTAACTTCCATCGAGTAATTTCTTCTTTCAGTGCGTAACAGAGAGAAGGGGGTGTTATAATGTTTTATTCTTAGCAATCCTGCTCTCTTTTCTGTATCTCCTGTCCTCATTTAAAACCTTTCTCCTCCTCTACCTTTAAAATCACAGCTTAATTTTATTCTTTTTATATCAAAAAAATTGCAAGAACAAAGATTAAGCTGGGTTTCAGTAGTGATGCTGTCATTCTGGTTAACCTGAACATTTTAAATATGAATACTTTTTTTCTGTTACATAGATAAACCACCTCTATCTTTTCCACTTTTTTCCAGCTCAAAGTCGTGTAAACACGCACAGAAATACCCTCTGAAGGTTACATCCCACAGCCTTTATCCCTCAGGAGTTCAGAATAAAATATCCACTGCTGAACCTGATCGTTGTCATCTTGATGCTCAACTGAGGCCTCAGTGAAACGTTGCATGATGGGAACTGTGAGTCAATGCTGCCCTCTGCAGGATTTTAAAGGTAGAGACTTGCCACAGTTTTTTCACCTCCGATACACAAAAAATATATAAATACGCACATTTTACAATCCTGTGGACTTGAGGTTTGTATTAATATTGTGACAACAAACTGATAAACTAGGAGCACTTTTTTGCTCTCATTCAAATAATTACTCTAAATCACAGATGTGCAAATCTCTGAACTCCAGCTGTATCCTTTAGCACAATGGCTACCAAAGTGGGGTGGGGACCCAACTAAAGGGGGAGTCACAACATGCTGTTTAAAAATAAGAGTTATTTGATTTTCTTGGATTGTATATTTTACCCATAAAAAACTCATATCTTGGTTCTCTTGTCTCTCTCTCATCCCCGCTCTCTATTCTCTTTCCCTCCCTCTCCCGCCTGCCCTGCCTTCTACTCCTCTCCCTCTCCTCCTATTTCTCTGTCTTTTTCCCCAACTCAGCGAGGTGGCTGTCTAACATGAGTTTGGTCCTTCCCAAGGTTTCTGCCTGTTAAAAGGAAGTTTTCCTTGCCACTGTCACTCATGTTGAATGAGATGGGTCAAATCTGTCCCATGTTAAGGTTGGGTTTTGGTAATTCATCAAACAATGAGCATGGTCTAGACCTGCCCTTTTTTGGAAAGCGTCTTAGGATAACGACTGTTGGGATTTGGCGCTATATATATAAAATTTGATTTGATTTTATTTAAGATGCTGGAATACACACTTTACACTAATAAATAAGTGTGAGTATGTGATTAATGGTTGACCAATATCGCTTTTACCATGGCTGATATTGGTGCAGATGATGAGACAGCAGGAGCCTCTGTGGCTGATATATAATGCTGATATTACATAGTTGGTTTTCTCTGCATTTGACTAAATACAACAATTTAACAATACTAACAGATGGGAAAGAAATGTTGTTGTTGGGTGAATATTTAATTGGATCGATTTTAGGAGACAATATAGTAAAAAAGTTGCTGTTCAGACATCTGATGTCATAAAAGAAGAAATATGAGGTGAATTTGAAGAATAGGTGAAGTCATGCAGAAGATCATAATTCAATGCACATTAACATCATAATATATAAGAGGTTACCTTTACTAGAAACATGTTTTAAATGGATCTTAAATGATTAAATAATACTGTAGATTCTAGGACATGGTTCATATTTACGTTAGAGGCAAAATTCAACTGCGTTACTTTAGGTCATAACTACGTATACATTGAACATCAGCCAGAGACTGTTAAAAAATTTGACTTGCTGGGAATAAATGTAACTACCTGTGTATTTAATTGTTGAGACAAAGGGCGGGTGAATATGATTTTCTTCTTCCTCTTTCCCGTTTCGTTTGGTGGGAGATCATAAAATCGAATTGAGGGGGAGCACTTAAAAATGACACAAAATCTAAGGCTTTAAACGAGCATGTGACTGATGTCTGTTTAAACTCACCTGTGTGTCGAGTGACTAAATAAAGTATGTCCGCTTTCTGCAGTAAACATTTCGATCACTTGTATTCAGCATCTTACTTTTCTAAATGAGTTCAAAATACCTTGATGGTTGTTTGGTCTTTGTCTTTTTAGTCTTACTCTATTGATTGTTTCTGAATTGGGCCTCAACCTCTTGTCCACAGTTGTAAACAACCTCAAGTTACTTAGGTAACAGTCTGGGTTGTAGTCTTTTGCACCTTTATTTTGGGGGTCCTGGGCTGAGAAGTTTGGTAATCTATGCTTGAGCATACTTTATTTACCTTGAAGCAATTACCATCAAAATGCAACACCCTGATGCCAATTGACCTTATGGTGGCCATAGTTTTGTGAAGTCAAACTAAGGGTGGGAAACTCATATACTGTTATCTCATAAATTGTCAAATGTTCTCCTGTGGCGCCAGGATCCGCAGAGCTGAGGGGGTTCTGTTCAAGGATGGGAAGCTCATGCATTGTTATAGCAGTGTTTCAGGTCATACGTCAGAGGAACCTCAAGATCCTGTCAAACTGCTCTCATTTAACAGCTCCTTGACTGAAGAACAGCCACTCAAACTAAGACAGGGACGATCAGGAGAGAGATCAGCCATATTTAAATTTGAAAAACACATTTGACAGCCTTTTAGCCAACATAAAAACACAGCTAACATTAGCATTTAGCCACCTCCTATTTAACATTATTGTTTACAAATCACAGATTCAACAGGGTGTGAAAAACATTCGCAGAAGCAGACATCTTGACTCACCGAAAAAACACGAGCAGGAATCACTGTTAGCATTTTAGGTGACGGACTAGATCCACAGTGGGGAAAATATATTGATTGTTAAATGTCTGATGGTCCACCTAAAACAACTTCTTCTTATCTTTCTTTAATTAAGAAACATAATTGAAACATTTTTGTCAGACTTGATCAGTGATTTTTTTATGGCTTATCTTCATCTCATCTTCATTGTGGAAAAAAGGTCCGCTTATGAACAATGATTGTCATGATTTTTTTTAATTGAAATTCACATTGGTTTCATCATCTTAGATACAGGATTGTGATGGGTCTGGTATATCTGACACTAAGGGAAAACTGCTGGCTGATAGGTGCCAGATGCCAGGCCAATGTTATCTGTTTATATTCTTTTTTATTTATTTATTTGTTTGATGTCCAACAACTGTGATATCCTCATGATAGTACTCACTGTCTTGTGTGTTTTAAGCTCTAAGAAATTACCTACATATTCTTTTAACAATGATCACAACAAATTAAAGTTGAGGTGTGATTTTAATTGCTTAACTGGGACTTAATCAACTTTGATATTTGCCTCTGTTTAAAGTCTTTTTTATACCTTATACCTCAAGACTAATTCAATTTAAAATACAGATTTTCAGGTATAGAGGTGTAAATGTGTAGGAAAAGTAAGACCTTTGGAAAGTACGCTTTTTTCAGTCGAGCTGCACATATCCAGGAAAATAGCAGCCATGGCATCTCAACTATTTGACGTCACAGTTTAAATTTATTTAAAGATGAATTTGCATTATCAGTGCAAAAGGCAAGTTCACAACATGTCAATAGGTGTCACAGTGAAAAGCAATTCAGACTTTCGGTGTTTCATGACTGAATAAATGGACGGTTTAAGGATGGGTGGATCAGAGCAGCCGGTCTCATGTGCAGTCCAGTAAGCGATGTTCATCTGTCTGAGCTGATATGTAAACTTCCCTCTGTCTCCCTTTCCTCTCAGCAGTTCGGCATGATACATGAAGTGCCCGGGTTAGGCCTGGGCAGAGGAAAATGCCAACCACTCGCTCTCCAAAATGTCAAATGTGACATGTCACAGACATTCAATAATTGTCCTGCTGGAGCTATTCAGAGCCACGCTTTTCGGACAGCTCCTGATTTCTTATGACAAGAGCGGATTTTATCTGCCTCTGGGTACAAGGTCATGGACACCTTCTTTTGGGATGAATATTTAGTGAACCTATCAAATTTTGGGGTTATCCAAACAAAGGGAGGCTTTTTGTCACCAGGAATGTCAGAACAAAAGACTGACTGATGGTAAGATAAGTTTGGGCCTTTAATCTGACTGCACCTTTTTGGATGTGAAAGAAAAAATAAATAAAAGTAGGGCTGAATGTCTTTCAATTTAAACTAACATGAGATAGAAATGAAAATGAAAATAAAAACAAGAAAAATCTCAACATGAAAAGTTTTTTTTTTATATATATATACCTATGCTGCCAAGGAGCTAGAGCCATGCACATAATCTTAATCTTTAGTACATGAATTTTACATCCATGGTGCAGTTCATATTAAAACAAGTGTTCTATCTGTAAAATTGAGACCAAATACAGTTTAGAAAACCAAAGTGGTTCTGATGAGGAATATACCCTAAATTAATGACACATGGCTCATGCAGACTGGTAAAAACCCTTCACATTAAAGCTCCTCTGATTATCTTCCAGTTTGTTGATTCTGGTGCCCCCTGTGGACAAAGCAGTCTTTGCTTATCCCATCCTTTACATAATTAATGTCTTCTTTTTTTCTAAATCAAATCCTGATGATTTTTGACAATCAAATGTAACATTTATTGAGTATGTTATTTAGTAATTGTGAAAGCACAACTGTTTCTTCAGCTGACTGACACCCACTCCCTCGCTTTAGTTTGCGCAACATAAAAATGACCAATCTTATCCCAGATGGTCTTGACTGCTTTTAGACATAACAAGGCATCGGCATAAATTGTAGTCAATTCTATAAATATCAAAAAGCTCCTTATGAGAGCTTAAAATGCTTGCTCATATTATATATGAACCACGAAGAACAGCGATTTAAGAGGTGATTGAACAACCACACCAGATCAAGCTTGCATGGGTGCTTTACTATGTGGTTATGTAGAGTACTCCACACTGTACCCACAGATGTGCTCAAAAAAAGACTTGGCACAAATGCCTAGTGTTTTTTTTTTTTTCTTTGACGGCTAAATTTCTAAAATTGGAAACTTTGTTTTTACTTATTTGTAACTTGCAATATGTCTCTATCTGAAAAGGAATGTGATTTTACCATAAGAAAAAATTTTGTTTTTTTTATTGACATACCAACAATCCTCATGTGTTGTCTGTGCTACCTGGTTAAAAAAAATCTCCTTTTACTATTAATAAATATTAAAACATGACATTCACTGAGAGGATTTATTTAAACAGGCTAAGAGTTCAAAATATGACTCTGGTAGCCAGCAGATTTAATGATTTATCTTAGACTCCTAGTGAATGACCGTATGAAAGCTGTTGGTTTACTATGACATATGACAGCCACAGAAACACAGCTCTGGCACTTGCTATGAAACAAACAGCCATACCTCACAACCTCCATGTTTCCAAAAAGCTTTTAACATGTACAAGTAGGAATTAAGAGGCAACACACTCTTTCAGGATCATTCTGGTTTATTGAAGGCACATCAGTTAGAATAACACAATGTGTTGGACATTTACATTCATCGTCAATCACTTTTCTTGAACCAAATCATTGTGTGTAACACATTACAGCTCAGTTTTTTACAATTTAAGGACCAGGACAAAATTTAAAAAGGCTCTTTTTTTTTGTGTTTAAGGCAACAACTTCAGGAGTGTATTGTATTTAGAGAGACATATTATGTTCCTTTAAGAATCAACACAGTTGCCTTCATTGTTAACTCCCTAATGACCTCATTTGAATGACATATTGTGAGATTAAACTATTAATACATTGTCAAATTCAATAAATAGAAGATACAGATTATATTTGTTCCAATACCCATCCTCAGATTTAGAATCACTAATACTAATCTACAATGCATCACATTTCCACAGCAATATTAAATACCATTTAAATTATCCTAAAGGATTTATATTCCAGTGTATAGCAAGTTTGTATTGTTATTTTTACACGGGCAGGGTTAGGCCTTTTTGTCACACACTTTACAAGAATGTGAGTTACAGTGTTTCATATGACGCTGAGATGTGGATTAAACGTAGTGCACATAAACCACATCTGAGGAACATTCCTATTCACCGTTTGCACATTAGGTCTGTTTTTCTCTGACAACCCGGGGCCAAAAGCTGAAAGCACTCACCAAACTTAAAAAGGGGTACGTATGGCTTTGTTCCAGGTGTGAGCATCATATGAAGCAAATGGGATCTGACTACTATTTCTTTTTGATTGATTAGCCAGAAAAATCAATAGAGAGTTAAAATCTGGGGGACAGGTCAGCTAAATTTTAAGTAAACCAACAATAGCTAACATTTATCGGCAAATGTAAGCTTTTAGAAATTTCCCAAAGGTCGTGCCAGATAGGAATTGATTCAATGCTGCTACTGGCTGTTGTCTAAAGGTAGTTAATAAGTTACTAAATATGTTACTGTACTTTGAAATATGGCCCACTGTCACTCTGATTTGTTCATTGCTCCTGGTTTCTGCTCAACAGAGACGCAATAATATGAACACCACTAGTGATTTTAACCCGGAACATGACAGCAACATTACAACTGCTTTTTAATCCCCCACCCTGAGCTTTATGTTTCAGAGTATGGTCCTTGGGGTAAAGTGGTGAATTATGTGCACTAGGAATGATTAAACATTGCTGAGATCTTTCAGTAGCTCATCTCAAAGGTTTTCTGCCACTTTTCTAACCGATTTTAAAACCACTGAGAAAAAAAAGCAGTTGCTGTGAAATCCAGTGGTTCAGACTAATTAACAGAGGGAAGACAAAGCCCTGTGACTTTCTCTTCAGGTTTCATTGATCCTGAACCCTCTGCCTCTTCTTTATCTCTGGTCCCTCAGAGTCCTTCATGCAGGCCACCAGGAAATCCCGGCACTTCAGAGCATACTGCTCAGGAAAATCCCGATAGTGACCAACGTGAGGGCTGGAAAGAAAATCAAAACTGTCTGTGGGGACGCCTTTCCGCTTCAAGGTTGCCAAAAATACCTCAACATCCACGTGGCGAATCACCTGGTCGGCTCTGGAGTACAGGAAGAAGTGAGGCCAGGCGGGCGGCCTCTCCTGGACTGCATCATAGTGGTTCTTGTGGATGTACTTGGTCAAAGGGTACAGAATGATTCGCAAAAGAAAAACAGTCACGGCAAAAAGAGCTAGGAGGACGTACCTTAAAACAGGACTTATTTTGGGCCCCAGAGTGGCCTGGAGTGCACGCAGGGCCCCTCGGACATTCCCACTACCAGGAGCGCTGTCCACCACGGCCCCAACCACACACAGGGAGCTAAACTGTTTATCACTGTGCAGTAACTCTACAATGTAACGGTACAGCATGAAGCCACCGTTACTAAATATGTGAAAGAAAATTGGACTGTTCTCCACCTCGTAGTCATAGAGGATCTCCAGCAGCTTCAGAGCCGTGCTGCTCAGCTCTTTGTAGCCAAACGACTCTGAAATAAAGACCGTCTTTAAGGGAGCAGTGTAGCGAATTGTCACACATCCCTACAGACAGAGAAAAGACACAAGAAGAGGCTTCAATTTTGGACATGTTTGTTCACCTCAAAAACTACACAATGCTACCAAATGGACAAAAAAAAGCCGTAAGCAGAGTGTTAAATTTGAAAGCAGTTTCTGGCCACCACTTTTATCTTTGTCCTTAACAGAGCATGTTAAACCAAATCTAAAAACATGGTGGTATTCTTACTTAATAGTCCACCTTAGATCTGCTCTCTACAGGAGCACACACCCTTCAGTTACAGTAGCTTTTCTTATTGTCTGTCCCAAACGTTAGAGCTGAGACTGTAAAAACTGAGCTTTTGTCAAACCGTGGTTGTCATTGTGCATGCTTTAGAAAGATGGGATTATTTGGAGGATGAGGAGGAGCAGATGTGTTTACTGGCTGTTTTGTGTGAACAATGTGGTCTCCAGGATAGATCACATCAATCAAAAATGAACGCAGACTTTGATCTCATTGTTTTCCATGAGAGGATATAGTCTGATTTCTATAGTAACAGTTTACATCTTATCTAAGCTCTGTTACAGTTGGCTATTTCACTACTTGACATCACTGTCGTCATTTTCCACTGTAAATTTTCACCACATTACATTGATTTATCATATTTGATATACCTTAACATTCTTGTTAGTCAATTATGAGAGTTAACAGCAGTTACTTGAGGCCTTTCACCCGAGTAAAGACAATCAGCACTTAGACACTCCAGACCTTTTCACTGTTTAGCCAAATACAGTGGAAACATCTGCACTGCAACAATATTATGGTTAGTTTATTTGTTACACTCAACAACTCCAGATGAACCTTAAATCCTGATGGTGCAAACAAACAGACAAGCTAGATCAACATCCTGTTAAGTGTGGACTTTGCACCCTAAGTTATGGTCAAACACACCGTAACACTGAGTTAGACACCCTCTCAAAAGATTAACCACTTGCTTCTCTAGGTATACCAACTTAAGTAATGACTGTATGATAGTAATACACAGTGGTCTACGTCTCCACGCGCAAACATCGACCAAAAAGCCACTCTATAGCCACAAATAATGCTCAGAACAGCACCTAACTTCATCAACAGTACATACAGTATAAGGTCCCAGCCATAGCACTAGCCACCAAACATCTTTTTAACTTTGCCTAATCTCTTTAACAAAGAGACCAAACACAACTCACCCACTCTCTTCCAGTAGCCACTTGTTTGTACAGAGACCTCAGGCAAGTCTATTACAGACTACAGCAGGGTGACGCAGTTTAACGAAGAACATTTATGATCATTTCTTCATGGAAATACAATCAGACCGAGACGCTAAGGCGGAAGAACTACTGCGTGGAAAATGTTTAATGTGATGATTGTTAGGAAATGATAGAGTAAGGATCATAATGTTCTTCCTTGAGCTGCGTCACCCCGCTGTTGTCTGTAATGGACTGGCCTAAGGGTCTCGCTACAAACAAGTGGTTGCTGGAAGAGTGGATGAGTTGTGTTTAGTCTCTATGCTAAAGAAATCAGGCAAAGCTAAAAAAATGTTTGATGGCTCATACTCTGCCTGGGACCCTATTTGTACTGTTGATGAAGTTAGGTGCTGTTCTGAGCATTATTTGTGGCTATAGAGTGGCTTTTTGGTTGAGGTTTGTTTATGGCTCCTTAAACCGCTGTGTATTGCTATTGTGCGGTCGTTGCTGAAGTTGGTATAACTAGAGAAGCAAGCGGTCTGCAACATTCATCTCTTGAAGAGGAGTCTGACTCAGTGTTGCGGTGTGTTTGACCCTAAATTAATTGTACAATGGAATATCCCTTTAAAAGGGCTTGGAACAACCCCTTCTGGACCATGAAGAAATAGTATGTGATTTACTTTTTGCGCTAGTATAACTTGAGCAAAAATTTGTGGATGCAGCACCAAACTGTGTTCACAGACAATAGTTTTCAGGTGCAGTTATGACTGTTTTTATGCAGCCACATGAGGGTCAGAAAACCATGGCCCAAGTGGTTTTGGACCTTGTCCCTCTTGTTCTCCACAACTTTCAGTGAACAAATGTTGATGAAACCCTCATATTCTTTGCAACTGTACGCTGAGGGACACTCAGGCCTGTGTAGTCTGACTCTTGTGAGATTGTGGTTTTATGCATGTCTTATTATTTGGTTGAAACTATTTGCTCACGGTCTTAAGGTCACACTTTCTAATCACAATAGGCACCTCTTGGTTGAATAAATGTTTGTCATAAAAGAATAAACACAGTTTTTCTCACCTGTTCATTGTAGATAGAGCTGTATTTGGAGAGGTGTTTGTCTTTGCAGCCTGCCCAGCCCAGCAAGATCACCACTGGCTCCTTTGTCCCCTGCCAGTGTCTCTCTGAAAACAAACCAGACGACAGAGCAGCGTGACACCGGGGCTGTCACTGTGAGCTCGGCTAAACTAAGCTAGCCTGCTAAAGCCCACGGCTGAAATCAGCTGTGTATGACGGTTACCTTAAGTGCTAACATTAGCCTGTGCGATAAGCTAGCTGAGGCATGGACACACAGTACAATGAAATGATGCTCACCCAGCGTCCCCGCGTCTGGAAACACGATGTTGTAGTCTATTTCCTCGTCCGCCATTTCTATTTTTGAGAGTATCAGCTGTTTTTGTCCAACTTTGCGTTTTGGTTCATTTGCCCGTTGTAAAACTGGTAAAAGTCGAGTAACAAAGCGCTTAATTTTACAACACCTACAGAAGACTGAAGATAGGTCCAGCCTCTCTTCCCTACTGGAGCATTTCTACTTCTTCTACGGTGAGCTGAAAAACAGGTAACGTGCGGCCAATACAACCACACCGCCCCCTCTGTTCAAAAGCAAAAGAGCAACTATGTTCTACTGAGATTGGAAAAATGGCAAAAACAAGTTAAGTTATGGTTCAGGGAAGTCTTTCGTTGATAATCTTTGAGAAAAATTGCAAATGCATTGAGAGTATACTGGGATAATGTATCATCTATTTATCAAAATATTTGATGCCGTGAGGTAAAGATTACATGGAATGATTATCATTCAGGTGACCAAAAAGTTAATATGTATTGAACATTGCGGTGTTATAAATGTGCCAATAGTGATGTAATCTCCTTGATGTCTCTGGAAACATTTTTAATATTATACATTTGTGAATATTTGGAGTGTCTTTCATTAGTGGTTCCTTAATGTGAAATTTATCTTTGTTTTTGTTTATATATCTAACTTTTAATGAATTTTAATGAATGTTTATTGCTTTGTAAAAAGAAAAAATAAAGTCCAGTGACAGGCTGTTATCAGTGTCCCGCACTGACAAATTCAGGTCATTTGTCCCCCAGGCCATTTGGCACTTCAACTCCTCCCTCTGAGGAGCCCTGTCTGAAAATCAATTTCAGAGCAAAAAATTATCACATTTTAAGTAAAAAGTATCACTAGACAGACAAAACACTTTCCCCTGAAAACACAAACACCTTAGTTAAGTCTAAAATGACGCTTACAGGTTACTGCTAAAAGTTTATTATGAATATAATGTACAGTATGTCTTGAGGATAGTGGCAGAGGAAAGCTCATGTTCTCACAAATCAGATAGTTTCTCTTCATTAAATAACACTGCAGCTTCACTTTTAATTTTCTTTGGTCCCAGTTCTTTGATCTCTCAAAAAGGGTTTTTGTCCTACATTGGTTCCAAATTTTTGACAAAGTCTATTTTAAGAAAAACAATTGAAAGAGCTTAAGTTTATTTTTTAAAGGAAACCTGAATAACAGGAATTAATTCAAGAGCACGAATGACCTATATAAGCACACTGATTGGCTTTTTACTGTGGCTTTTTCACCTGCCGGTGGATCCTTGACAATTCAAAGCTCCTGTGAGGTAATTTGGTTTGTGTCAATTTAGGCAGCTTTTGTTGACAAAGGAGTCTTTGCCTTTCTTGTTGTCTACATGCCTGAGTAGTGGTTTTTAACAACAACAAAAAAAAAACTCATCCTGCTGACTTCTAACAGGCCAAACCTGTCATATCTTGTGAATATTTGATGTGGAAATTGTAAGAACAGGCATATTTTTTGGCTACTTGTCCGACGCCTACTCCCTGGCACCAGTTTCAGGCATTAACAATTATGATATACAAAAATCCTCTGTCATGTGGCCGACAGTCTTGATAGTTTGTTTTGGATATTATGAACAGACACCAATGTGAGCTTCAGTCTATTTCATAAGCATGAAAAACTTCCTAGTCTACAGACCACCGTAGACTGTGGACGATTTGTAAAATAAACTGCAAGGCTTTGAGAAAACTGCTGAAAACAATAACAAGTCTGAATGTACTGCGTTTTTACCGAGTAAGTTCCGGGTGTTAGCATGCTAATACCTGCAAATTAATTTTTACACTAGATAAATAAAAACCTGAAATACGAATGATTTATTTTGCACCACTGGGTTGGAAACCAAACCAATTGAAAGCTCAAATTGTGACTTGATGATGCGGTTGAAGAAAAGTTGGTGAAAACATAAAATCTTTATCACTTTTTGCGAGAAAAAAGTAAAGATATTCCTTAAGTCTTTGTCACTATGACAACCAATGAATAGAAGTGACCATCTCCTGAAATAAATGTCAACATCATAGGAAAAATCATGAGACCAACTACATCACAGTATTTCATTTCTGGGGAGCATATAATCTGTGAAAAATATTACAGTTATTTATCAAACAGTGTTAATAATTCAGTCTATCAAACGGTGCTAATGACCCTGTGAAGAAAATAACATAATTCAGCATATAACTAAACCTTGGCTCCCCATACCATCTCCATCTTCTGCACATGAGCCTTCGATGATTTGGAGAAGGTGCTCTTGACCACATTCAGAGGAGCTGCCTTTCCACTCAGGTAGACCTTATTGAGACAGGAAGGAATCCATGTCAGCTGCTCCTTCTTCTCCACAACCCCGCCTCCCTCCTTCTTGGGTAATGAATTAGCATGGGCAAAGATGAACCCTGTCATAAAGGCATCAAACCCCGCCCGGTGTATTCCTGTGTCTGTCTTGTTATGACTGTTTGACTTGGACAAAGGGTGACTCGTTTTCTCTCTCTCTTCATCCTCTGCTCTGCTTTCTCTTCCTTCCTTTGTGTTTGTTTTTGTGTCGTCTGTCATAGCAGTTGCGACAGAGTCACACACTCCATTCCCCTCATCGTCTATTTTCATGCTTTCTTCACTCTTTGCAGTATTCCCCTCATTCTCCACTGGAGGCTCTGGTGTTTCTGCAGGATCCACCTCCATGTGGGGGATTTTGTTTTCAGGGGCACCGTCAAACATGGAGGAGGCCTCTGTGGGGTTTTCTTTGCCTTTCTTCTTCTCTCTGTGTCTCTTCCTCTTTTTTCTCTTGTCCCCTGAGCACTTCTCATCCTGGAGGATGATAAGGTCAGTGTCGTGGGATAATGGACACTGGCTGCCGTTTGGACACCAGCCAAACCCCTGACAGATGAAACAGGGCAATGAGTAAAGGTAAATAAAACCTGTTATAGGGCTCATAATAAATGTAGAAAAATACTGAGACATTATTTAAGAGGCTGTAACGTTAACCCATTAATTTCTTTAATTTCACTACCAAACAATTTCAAACAATAGGGGGATAAAAAAGGGTCAAACTCACAGAAAACTGCAGGCAGATGTTAGTCTGTCCCTCAGTAGAAGCCACATCTGGACAGGTCCTGTAGTCCACATAGCTGGACATGTGACCACCATACTGGCAGAACTCCACCTGGACATGAGGCCCGGCACCAGAGGTCACACTGCGACTGTTATCCAGCTTACTGCAGGGAGGTGATGATATGAGAAAGGGATTATAACTCATTTAATCAAACACTGACACAGCTGGCCTTCACAGCAATGATACAGCACAGCATCACTGTCTGGTGTGTGTATTGCATCAATGAGTTTCACTGGTGCTCTGCAAAACAAAACTGAAGTCTGAAGGATGTCAAGAAAGTATGAAGTGCAATAAACAAAAATAAAGAGAATATTTTTGCTCAAAGTTTTCATGTTGTTCTTTATGTTTTACACAATACATCAGCTTGCAGCATGTTTTTTTTAATTCAAATTAAATTTAAATAAAATGATTAAAAAATATATATATATATTCCACCCCTAGATGGCTCCTATTCATCTGGTATTGGGGTAGCTGAAAGCTTGCTTGAGCTCCATCTAACTGCACTAAAATGGTGTAAAAGCAACACTATCATACCGTCAGGCCTTAATGCAGAGGTTTAAGTGGTCACATGATGAGTGAGAGGGCATTGTGATTGGTTTATCGAATATGCTTACATCAGGATGATAATAAAATAATACTGGCGCTATCCCTCTTACTGAAAAATATGAGGTATTGAAAGCACATTTAAAAACAAGGTCATTTAGTATCAGTAATGGGTTCATGCTTTGGGTCTGTAGCAGTCTTTGATGCTGGGCAACACCTAGCCTAAAAAGGAGGAAAGAGCTGTCCTCCAAATAGATGGTCCGACTAATCTTCTAAAGAGTTACTGTCAATCCAAAATCAGTGTGAGGGCTTGTGCCCCTTAAAGGCAACACTGATCTTTTCTGACAAGTCTTTTAAATATTTCAGTCAGTTCTGTAACTTTAAGTAGTTCAAACTTAATTTAACAATGCAAGCAAACTAAACCTGACAACAAGACTTTCAAAATGTCAAAATAAAACATCACAAATAATGATTTTTATGCAGAGATCTTTTCTCCAAAGCAGTTTCTATCTTGGGTTGGTGACACACATAAATCATAATGTTAAACTCTTTTAGAAATGGTGAATGATGATATGTAAGCAAGCCAATGGTGAAGTTTATGAAGTAACGTATCACACACACACACACACACACACACACACACACACACACACACACACACACACACACACACACACACACACACACCCTTGTCTTGCGTTTCCAAAACTTTCTATTTTTTCCAGTTTTCAATGAATCTTGCAACAATAATGTTATCTGGATTTTTTTTATGGCCACAACAATCATGAGGCACTAATGTGATACTGTGACAGCCTGACCATCAACAATACTCACCATTTCTTATAAGCGTACTCTAGATAGGAGGCAGTGAGTCGGAGCTCAAACTCAGTGATGTATTTGGTGTCGTATATCCCAGCAGGAAACATCTCAGACAGGTCGGCTGTGAAAGTCGCAAGATGCTCAGGCAGGTGAGCATAAAAACTCTGGTAGGAGAAGAATAAATGAAACAAATGAGCTGTGTGATCTGCTGTGAGAAAGGCACTGGCTTTACACCCACAAAAAAAGCATTATCAGATGAGAAAATGCAGACTAGGGCTGTAAACAAATGTCGTGTTTTCAAAACGTGTGAAGCAGAAAGATTAAGGAAACTTCTTGCATTTTCAGTCTGGCTGTTTTGATGCCATCCTTTATACTCAATCATTGATCGAAGGCTTAAATATATTAATTTTTCATGATTTCACAAATATTAAGATGAGGAACAAATCCTGAAAGTTAGAAGCTAGGGGCAGAAACTTGGGGTAATAAAGAAAAAGGAAGAGTCTGGTGTTACCTGGTAAAGAAAGGCCATGTCGATGAGGCCGTTGTGAAGCACAAGAGGCTTCCTGGCTCGCAGCAGCTCAGTGAATAAAGCTCTAATGTGGACGCCTCTGTCGTCTGATCCTGCCTGAAAGAGAAAGTACAGTGAGAAGACAGGTATGTATTGGTTTTCAACATCAACACAATCAACATCTGTTATAATGTGGCATTAATACATGCTACAGCAGCCTATTCTCAGTGTGAGATCAGCACGCTCCAGCTTTATCAGGATTCTTTACTATAAATTTACATTTAAATTTGGAGATCTCTTTGAAAAAGATTTTAGTCAAGATGGTGCAGTTCTTCATCCATTTTGAACTGCCGACTGAAGATGAACTGGATAAAACATGTTGCTAATAAAAAAAGCGTGACACGGACACTCATAGACACAAGAGTCAGAATAAAGAAAGCATGACCCTTAATACAACAAAGACTCATCATCACCTTATTGTTGCCCTTGCAGTAGGGGATTCCATTTGCATACTGTTTGTTGAAGTCAAATCCATGCTGCACCAGGAACTGGACTGACTGCGGCTCTATGATGTACTCCTCTGAGCACAGCAGGGTTAGATTATATACCTGGACCAGGTATGTGTTCTCAGCCTGGAGGGGGTCAAAGGCATGAGCATAATAAATATGGAACTAAAAGTGTCATGAAGTCATCTGCTGTGGTATCAAGTCTAATCATGACTGTTATATGGTGCCAAGCAGAACAGAAAAGCGAGAGGCAGACCCTTGAAGTACCTTGTTGTCAAGTATCTTGTAACAGCTGATTCCCAGAGAGAGGATGGAGCGAGAGCGAGCTGCATGACAGATAGCTTTGTATCTGTCCTCTATGGATCTGAAACATGACAGTGAGTTTAATAAAACACAAATCAGCAAGCATGATGACAAACATGAGAGTGGTGGATCACAACAAAGTTAAAGCACTTTGTTATAATACTTTAGTATATTGTAGGAGTACCTACACTCTACTACAGTTGATATATTTCTGTCAGTGTTTACCTTAGCATCTCTGTAACTCAAGATTAAATTGGAGGAAAAAAAAAAATCAAGGCCTTGGATTTATTTTTTACTCAAAATTTAGCCTCGGAGAAACAGCAACTCAGAGGCTCAGGGCAGAGGATAGTAGTAATGCTCCAATTTAGCTTTCAGGTATTTTATCCAACTCTGCCAGGCATGTGTGTAACAGGTGAAAATGAAATCACTGATGGCCATACTCACTGAGCCAGCAGGGCTTTCCTGTTTCCAAGACCGCTTAGCTCCTGAAACAACACAGAGTGAAACTGTTAATATAAATACTTTTCACTTAACTTTTGTTGGTTTCATGTAAAAAGATGGGCATGGAGTGTGGCTGGATGTGGTGAAGGGACTAACAGTGGGCTAAAATACTTAAATGAATGCGTTTGATAATACTGTATATGCTGAGTTGAAAGAGATTAGATTATGCATAACAAGGGTTTCAATGGAGGTACAGATCAGTGTGTGTGTATGTTAGAGCAAGAGAGGCAGTGATGTGTACTGGTGTAATAATTGCATACCAGTGAGAAGGGCTGGGCAATAGAACGATAATGATATCAAAAATTAATTTCCCTCGATATCAATATAAAACGTGGTCAACATGCTTTGATAACCGTCATTCTGCCATGTTTTGGTAGACTATACGAATAGCCAATGAAAAGGGGGAGTTGCTCCGAGTCAGCTTCGCACTGAACCAATCGTGCTGAATTAAAACACAGTAGGAAACAACTGCGTAGTAGCAGGCTGCAGCTACACACAACTATAGGACTTCAACACGTGAAGCCAACAGCACTGTCAGTGAGAAAAAAATAAAAAGAGTGCTACCCCTGACAGAAATGCAGATGAAGGCTCAACAGATGATGACATTGTTGACAACACTGGCACGAAAATGTTGGTGGTGTGGAGGTATTTTGGTTTTTTGAGGTCAGACATAAAGCAGAGTAATGTGCACTGCAAATTATGTCAAGTACATGTTCTCACAAAGTCGGGAAATACCTCAAATCTTTTTCACCGCCTGAAGCAGTGCCATGCAGCACAGCACGCACAATGCAAAAGGTTACAAACCCTGAGTGGAGTAAGGAGCCCATGGCGCCTGTGCAGCAGACCATTCAGTCTGCTTTCTCTAGCACAATGCCTTACGACAAAACGTCAAAAAGACAGTGCAGTAGCTTACTGTATTGCAAAAGACATGCTACCAATAAGCACTGTTAAATTTCATTTTTTATATTGTGATATATATTGCTAGACTGATATGAAAAACTATATAGTGATCAACTTTTTTCCCATATCGCCCAGCCCTACAGTGAGAAAGCAAAAAAAATTGTTAATCAGTCACATCTTAAATGTTTCAAAACTCTATCGCTATGGACCTTGTTTATGTAGAATGGAAACTCAATGTTATTAAGGGGAGGGGAATACATCTGTCCTCTAGCCTATTTTAAACAGCTTGGGGATTGTTTCATAGCTAGAAAGAATACACCATCAGATAGAGACTGTACAGGTGAACTTTAGTAAAAAATATTGACATAGTCTTCTGATTCATCTGTCATGGTTCATGGAATCACAAAGTTTTGATCTCGCTTGAAAGAAACTGTGTTACATAAGAACCTGAGCTATCAGTAAGAGGGCTTTCAATTACATCCAATGTTTTAATTGCGATAACTGAGCATTGCAGGGTTTTTGTCAGGAAACAATGAATAATACTTTTCATGTGTCTCTGCTAAACTATTTTTCAAAGATGCACAGTGTGGTCATGTAAGTCCTGTAACTTTAAACAAAATAACAGGGAAACCATGCAAATAAGAGCACATGAACCAGTGCGCACCAGGCGGGTCCAATGTTGCTAAAGAAATCTAATATCAGCCCTGTATTAAGATTTAACCGATATATCCAAGTAGTTGTGTCGCGATACTATCGTAAATGAACGTGGCTTATTGAGTATCATATCAGACAAACACGCAGACAGGTAAAAAAAGGATAAATAAATAAAAATACTAAACTTACCGTGTCCACTGCAATGAAGGAAGAGGATTTAACAGCTATCACCATAGCAGGCCACATCTCCTTAAAGTTATCATTGTGGACATCGATCACTGGAACCACCAGTGAAGATGCCATGTTTTTGTATTGTGGTTATTTGTTTATTTCCTCTTGAAATGTCATCAAAAATTAAGTAAATGGTCAAATAACCCTTTCCAAGCACTTGTTCAAATCCACACACACACCGTAAACATTTCAACGTGCTTCCAACGGTCCTATGACAAAAACCATCTACTGTCTGTCTATGGCCTGAGTGTAGAGAAAAATCGCTAGCCTCTTACATTATCATTAGATCATTAAAAAAATAGATCTTTATGTTTTATCACAATTAAATGCATGAGTCTCAATTTCTATTCTTTTTTAGACGTTATATCTGTAGATTACAAAATTTATATTCAGGCGTTTGCTATAGACACACATATATACTACGTCACTATACTTAACCGTCGTGAAGAAGTCCGCCATTTTGGCTCAAACAAAGTCAGAAAGTACTTAATCTCTGGGAAATATTTTGCATCCCTTTCCATTTAGACCTTATTAAAGTTAAAAGAGAACTACTCGTGTTTCCACTTTTTTTTTTCCTTGAAAGTGTAACTTTTGCAGGTGTGCATGTTTAGTGAATAGCAGTTATAGGCGGAATCTCCAGCTGAGTCTGCAGAGCTGTCCCGACGGTGACTACATACAGTTCTGCTGCTTTTTTCTCAGTCTACCGCTATGGGAGGCTGCTCCGCTCCAAACTGCTCCAATTCAACCAGCATAGGGAAACAGCTATTTAGATTCCCCAAAGACCCAGTCCGTAAGAAGAAATGGCTGGTGAACTGTAAACGAGACTTTGAACCGACCCCTCACTCCAGACTTTGTCAGGTAAGTTTACATGTAGGTGCTGATGTGGCTGCAGTAATAATCTGTGAGATGTCTCCACACTGAGGACTTTGAATTGATCTAGAGTGAAAATAGAAAATAAAAACAGGATGATGAAGTATCTTCAAATGATTAGTCAAGTGTCAAAGTGTTGCTAGGAAACACATGGGCGCGTACTGAGGGGTGGCCAAGAGCAGGAACATCCCCCTCCTCTTCAAATCCCATTAGCCAAACCCACTGGCTACACTAAAATCCTCAACAATCATTTTATGATCCAAATGACAGGGGTTGGACTGATGTAAAGAGCTACATTTTGGGCTATTTTGCAGCTTCAACGTTTTTTTCACAGACTATGAAAAAATATAGCCTCAGAGATGTTACCCAGATTTGTTTAGGAAAAAACGCTTGAAGCCAATTAGAGGCAGTTACTGACAGTCAGCCTAACTTTTTGTTGACCTACCAGAGGTGAGCCTTGAGCCTCCTCACAAATAGCTGCAGTGTGCCCACTTGTAGGTCAAGTCAGCTGGGCCTCTGATTCACCATTCAGCAGTTTTTTGCAATTTCACATAGCCTTAATTTCTCAATACCAGATGTTTCCATTTGGCTTTACCTGAAAGGGTTGCCACAACATCCAGCCTTGACAGTGGTCATCTTCTAAAGATAGGAAATATTAATAGGCATTTTATATTAATAGGCATATTAATATTTTAAATCTATCTATCTATCTATCTATCTATATGATTGTATTATGTAAAGAACAGGTTCATAGTAGGGAGTGGGATTACTCCACTACACCGGTGTAGTGGAGTGCTTTAATTTTGAAACTGTCAAAATTCAAGCACTACAACAACAACAAAAATCTTCCTATGAGAAAATGGCATTTCCAAAGAAGTTGTTGTCAGAGAGCTGGTGACATAGATAAAACAAAACTTGAAGACATCAGTAGTGGATGATGAAATGACAAGTCAACTGTGTTTATTAGTGAAGTTTATGAGCTAATATGTCACCCCACCCTTTCTTGTCTCGCCCTCCCTAATTTTACTGACTGTAATTCTGTTTTCTCACATACTCCTAAAGTTAGTTTGTAACATTGTGACAGCTCTAGTATCTACATTGTTTACTGGGGCGCAAGCTAAGCTAATGGGAGCTTGCCTCTTAGAAACATGACATCAAAAACTTGTTTTTCTTGCAAAATTGTACATGCATGAGTTTTAAATTTGATGAAATTTGATAAATTTTAAATCAAATGAAGTCCAAAGAGTCAAGACAATGTGTCAACTGTCTTCTAGTTTCACCTTTCTTACCATTTTGAACATCTCCTACTTTTTGGCACAACTTAACTTTTTGTTTACTGTTTGCATTTCTTGTGCTTGTTTGCATTATAAACTGGATGAGTTCTAAGTGTGTTCTTCTGTCGTTTTATTTTTACCAGGATCATTTTGAGCAAAACCAGTTTGAAGAGGTTGCAAGGTCACCAGCCGGGGGAAGGAAGCTGAAGCCCAATGCCATCCCCACTCTGTTCAGCGTTTCAGAACCTCCTTACCCTGCTGCCAGCACTCAGTACATTATACTACCCATGAAACCAGAACCAGGTGACTGAATGTGCAATGATATTTCTTTGTGTTGAATGTGACAGAAACTGAGAGGGGTCCAGTGACTTTCTGGGCTATCTCTTGAAAGAGTTATCTCTTTCAATCCAGTATAGCAGAGCAGGGTTGACCATAGACTGGGTAAAACATGAATTTGGTCTCAGGGAAGTGACCAATTTGTTCCTGAAGTGGAGTGCTGTCTACAACAGATGGGAGTTTTTAAGCACTCCTGCACCGGCTTAATTTCTCCCCATCAGACTGATGCTTACTGCTAGTTTTTATTAACAGGTCATTATCAAAGCCGAACTTCAGAAGTCCAACAACATGTAAAAAATTTAGAGCCAAGCAACCACCTCCATCAGCAGTGACAGCTTTTTTAAACTGACTTCCCAACTCCATTCAAATGAAACAGAAAGACTATGAGAGAGTGTAAGATTGAAATGCCGAAAGATTTGACAGAAAGAAGTTTGGACCACAGGATCTTACATCATTTAATGCTCACCATTTAATACAACACTACATAGACACTGCTCTGTATCTGCAGCAGAAAAGGAGCTGAATTTCGGGGACCATGGCTATGCTAGACGCACCCCTCTGCCTGGCATGGAGGAGGAGGAGGCTGAAGAACATCAGCCCTGCGCACGCTGTCAACTCCTCAAGAAACAGCTGGAGCAGGAGATGCAGCATACAGCAAGGCTGCAGAGGGAGGTGAGATAGCTGACTGTGTGTCTTTGAAGTGACTCTGCTTTCTTGTTGCTTTTTTGACATTTATTTTCTTTATATTTGGAAAAGCAATTTCCTGTGTTTTATTGCCAATAAATAATCATATGGTGTAAATATAGTAGTTTGAATTCTGCATATTGAGGCAGTGGTCAGATAATTGTTTTTAATAGGATGCCATCATTGTCACTATATGTGATCTTAAATTCCCTAATTATTTTTTCATAATCTATTGCCTCTCCTGACTTCCTATAAGCAGCTGAAATGTAAGAGTATTTAAGAGTAGAAATCTGAGAGTGAACTGTAAGATCAAACTGCTTCTGAGCATTGTCCTCTTCATGTCTCTGTCAGGCAGAGGAGATGAAGAAGCGTCTATACCGGCTCGACCGCATCGAGAAGGGTCTCCAGAACTTTCTCTACGAGGACCAGATCCGTGCCCTTTCTCTCAGCAAGCGCTCCCGCCGTGCTGTCTGGTCTCCAGAGACCATCCTGAAAGCCCGAAAGATCCGCTGTGCAGTCGGCACTAAAGGCTATGAGTACTTGAGGGAGCTTGGATACCCTTTGCCCTCCTACAGAACTCTGTGTAACCGCTTGGAGACAAAGATCATGGTGACAACTGACATGAGCTGTGAGGAGTTGGCGGAGCTCGGCCTTGGGCTCATGGCCACCTGTGACAGTCCAACAGGAGGGGTTGGGGAGAATGATGAGGAAGAGCTAATTGGGGTTTTGTCCTGATTAAAGCTAAATAAAACTTTACAGAATGTAATGGAAGATGGTGAGGAAATACAGCTTATTTTATCTCTGAAAGACTGAGTTGTCAGTAAACGTGCACTCTGCTTGACAGAGATAGTGAGTTGACTTGTTTGAATTGTAACATGGTCGTGCTTGGGATCTGCAGAGGTAGGCACTTGCAGCTTGGTCTGGCTTTACCCCTGTGGTGTCTCTGACCACAAAGATGCTGAGCAACAAAATGTGCTGACGTTTGTGAGGAATTGAAAAAAGTAGTCAAATCAGACTGGGAGATTGTGTTAAAGATGAAAAGGTTTGTACAAGATGCTGTGTCTCTCTACTGATTTGATGAGTGATTCACAGACCGAAGTTACACAGGCTCTGAAACTCTGATGAAGGTAAAGTTGCTCAAATGTGCGGAGGAGAGTCAACCCAGATTAGGGGACTGCTGTAATACAGATCAAGGGAAAGAAAACAGAAATTGTTTTGAGCTGGGATGAAAATTGACTTCCTCTGTGTACAACCCCAGTTCAGAAATAGCTGTGTCACAGTCTCAGATGTCCATATAAACAGAAATGATAGCTTCCAATAAATACAACTTATCAAATGATGAAACTGAAAATCATTTTTAATGATCTGCTCATTTTAAATTTGATGCCAGTAACATGTTTCAAAACAGTCAGTACAAGGGCATGTTTACCATTTTGTTGCATCATCTCCTCTTTGGGCAAGACTCTGTCCGTGTTTGTGAACCATGTACACCCGCTTCAGGAATATGGAAAGTAACATTTTGTACCATTCTTGCCTGATAAAGGATTTCAGCAGCTCAACAGTTCAGGGTCTCCTTCATGGTATATTGTGTTATATTTAAATTGTTTTAAATGGGCAAATTTGTTTCTGCAGGACAGCCAGTTAAGCATTTGTTCTCCTCTATTACGCAGCCGTGCTGTAGCTGTATGTGCAGAGTGTAGTTTGCTGTTTTGCTGAAGCATTTCTGAAAAAGGCACTGTCTGCGTGGCAGTATACAGTGCATTGGAAAAGTATTCATACCCCTTGAACTTTTTCACATTTTGTCTCTCTACAACCACAAACTTAAAAGTATTTTATTGAGATTTTTTGTCATAGACCAACACAAAGTAGAACATAATTGTGAAGTAGAACAAAAATGATACATGGTTTTCAAAAATTTAAACAAATAAAAATCTGAAAAGTGTGGTGTGCGTTTGTATTCAGCCCCCCTGTGTCAATACATTGTAGAGCCACCTTTCGGGTAATTACAGCTGCAAGTCTTGAGGTATGTCTCTACAAGCTTCGCACATGTAGGAACTGAAAATTTTGCCCACTCTTCTTGGCAAAATAGCTCAAGCTCAGCCAGATTGGATGGAGAGCGTCTGTGAACAGCAATTTTCAAGTCTTGCCAAAGATGCTAAATGGGATTTAGGTCTGGACTTTGACTTGGCCATTCCAACACATGAATATTATTTGATCTAAACCAGTCCATTGTAGCTCTGGCTTTATGTTTAGGGTCATTGTCTTGCTGGAAGGTGAATCTCTTTCCCTGTCTAAAGTCGTTTGCAGCCTCCAACAGGTTTTCTTCCAGGGTTGCCCTGTTTTTAGCTCCATCCATCCTCCCATCAACTCTGACCAGCTTCCCTGTCCCTGCTGAAGAAAAGTATCCCCACAGCATGAGGCTGCCACCGCCATGTTTCACAGTGGGGATGGTGAGTTCATGGTAGAGAGCAGTGTTACTTTTCCACCACACATAGTGCTTTGCATTCAGGCCAAAAAGTTCGACTTTGGTGTCATCTGACCAGAACACCTTCTTCCACATGTTTGCTGTGTCCACTACATGGCTTGTAGCAAACTACAAATGGGACGTTTTATGTCTTTCTGTCAACAATGGCTTTCTTCTTGCCACTCTTCCACATAGGCCAGATTTGTGGAGTACACGACTTAAAGTTGTCCTGTGGACAGATTCTCCCACCTGAGCTGTGGATTTTGGCAGCTCCTCCAGAGTGACCATGGGCCTCTTGGCTGCTTCTATCACCAGTGCTCTCTTTGCTCGGTCTGTCAGTTTAGGTGGAAGGACATGTCTTTGTAGGTTAGCAGTCAGGGCATACTTCTACCATTTTTGGATGATGGATTAAACAGTGCTCCTTGAGACGTTCAAAGCTTTCGATAATTTTTTTTACAACCTATCCCTGCTTTAAACGTCTTCTCCACAACTCTTTCCCTGACCTGTCTGGTGAGTTCGTTGGTCTTCATGATGCTCTTTGTTGACTAGTGTTCTCTAACAAAGCACGGAGGCCTTCACAGAACAGTTGTATTTATGCTGATTCTAAATTACACACAGGTGGACTCTATTAACTAATTAGGTGACTTCTGGAGGCAATTGATTGCACTGCATTTTATTTAGGGGTGTCAGAGTACAGGGGGCTGAATACAAATGCACACCACACTTTTTTTTTTTGTTTAAATTTTTGAAAACCATGTATCATTTTTGTTTCAATTATGTGCTTCTTTGTGTTGGTCTATGACAAAAAATCTCAATAAAATACTTTTAAGTTTGTGGTTGTAAAGTGACCGAATGTGAAAAAATTCAAGCGATATGAGTACTTTTTCAAGGCACTGTATGCCGTTCCAAAACCTTTAGTTGTCGTTCAGTATTCATGGAGCCCTCCCAGATGTGTGAGATTTTTGATAATTGTAACTGGCTTCAGTTGCTTTTGTCTTATGGGTATAGTGTGTTTAAAAATGGTGGCTTTGTGTATTTTGTTCGTGAGGACTCCATGAAGATGAGCACCTTGTGAAAGCTTATGGGGACCTCTTTAAAAACCTTGTGGTCACTGCTCTGTAAAGTCCAAATTTGATTTGTCAGACCACAGGACAGTTACTCATTTGGCCTCAGTCCATCTTAGGAGCAATTTTCAACCCTTGCAGTGACTTCCACTACAGAGTCATGTCTTTTTTTATGCAGTGCTGTGTGTTGCTAGCACCAAATTAAATGAGCAATTTTCTCATAAAACTATGAGCTCTTGTATGAACTCTTCAATTTCAACATTTGATATGTTGTCTTGGCATTATTTTCTATCAATTCTATCATCAAGTTTCCCCTCGTGGATACACTAAGTTCTTATCAAAAATCAGATTTCAATGATTAACTGTTACACTGTGTTTTGATCAACACTTAACACAGTGCACCAATTTGTTTTGGGAAGTGGAGTTGTAAGTTGTGCACTGACTTTGCACCCAAAAAACAACTTTAATGTTATTCTGGTCACTATCTTAATATGTTGGCTTCATTGAAGATTTTGTGTCATTGTCAGACATTGTCAATCACTGCTACATCCACTGTCTGATTTATGTCTAGCAAACAGTACTGTAAGGACTGTAAACTTTGGATTCAGAGTGCACATGTCCTTATCTATGAGAATCATTTCCTGGTGTGTGAAAAGTTCCCAGATCAGAGCAGCAAATATCAGTCAAAAGACCCCCATAGTGTCATACCTCCAGGCCCACATGTGTGTTGGTTAGACTTCTTCACTGTGTTTCATGAGGGCCACTGTGTCGTTTAAAGGTCTCACCTGAGGAGCTGTTTCATGTGCTTTTTTTTTTTTTTAGGAGGAATTTACCCACAGATGCAACTTTTGATGGTGTCTGTCTGTTTAGCAGCAGTACACAACTGTCATGTCTTTGTAGTTTAGCCAAAAGTTTTACATTTGAGCGATGTCAAACAAAACTGTTGGTATGATTTGACTGGCTACCGAATACTGGGCTAGGCAATAGAAGAGGGGAGAGCTGTTAAGCTTATTATTGTCATCACCAACCTTACCCCACTGCCCCTCTTTACTGTTTGTATCAGACTGGCTCACCAGCCTTTGTTTCGCCCCACCCTCAGGTGACCCCCAGAGGAGAAAACAATCCATAAATCGACATAACAACTTCCAGCAGTGTATCTGTACTGAAGTTTTCATTTTGTTTGGTTCTTTCTGACCCTTTGTTCTGGTTTGATGTTCAAATTTGCAGTTAGGAACCAAAAAAGTCAAAATAAAAAGACCCTCTCTGCTAGTTCAAGTAAAATCAATAACACTGGCATATTAGGAAATAAAGGCATTGTAAACAGTTACCTATATGTTTCAATGTGTGGCACTCCAAATGAACATGTATTAAACTACATTTGTATGTACAGAATATTTTGAAGACCCATTGGAAATTAATAAGAGACCTTTGTGTGGCCTCTTCCTTAACTATTGGTACTTTTGATTACAATTTCCTCTCTGAAATGATCACTTTTCTTGTTCCGGCTTCACTTTCTATTTAACTTGTGACAGCAGTGTAAATGGGAATGTCTTCCCTAACAACTTCCACATGTCCTGCCAGTCTCCAGCTGTCCGATCCATTGAGGGCAAAAATGCCCCAAAACAAAATTTGAAATGAAAAAAGAAACTGCATGTCATCATGACATTCCGGTTGGGTTTGCCAGTAAATATAAAGAAAATTTGTACTTTAATACTGATGTTAAAAAGTAGATGTGCTTGATATTCTTGGCATAACCACAGTATACTACGCCCAAAGCATACAAGGTAAATTACCGGTTACTGCATAAAACTTTCTACTGACACAATTATCGACAGATGTAATCAGCAGACAAAGAAACAGCCATTGAATACTGTATGTGCATGCATTGACAGCTTTTGCATAGCAATATGTATGTATGGAGTACACAGCATACATGACCATACAGAAGTGTGGTAAACAGACAGCAAATTCATCACTTAATGTAGATATATGAATGAGAACACATTTACAGTGGGGTTCCATGTTATGTGTTCATCTTGTTTCGTGTCTGTTTCTAAGACAAAAGATAGAAGTAGGAGCAAAACTTTATCACAGAAGAAACGTAGAGTTCTTCACAATGAAAAAAGGTGTAAAATATCAGTATGAACTGTTATAGATATCAGTATCAATATCAGTATTGACCAAAATGAGTTGGGAAATATTGTTGTCTGGAATATCAGCCAAAAAAATGTGATGCATCCCTGAAAAAGTAGTCAGATGCAGCTAACCAGTGATGATTGATTAAAGCACTTCATTTCAATAAGACTGAGTATTCAGGTGATATTAATTTTTTTTTCTTTTTTTAGATTTAAGGCTTTTTTTTTTTTTTGATTGAAGAAAAGGATCAACCTGTTGAAAGTCCTTTTGTCAGCAGCTGTCTAACTTAATCCCACTTTCCATACTACTTTCACATTCAGCAAACTTATAGTCGCCCACTGCAGTCATGACCACCACACAGATTGCTTGCCTGTTGTGTCTGTACTGCACAAATACAGGCAGTTCATGATGGCAGTATCAACACTGACACTAGTCCAAACTAAGCCGTAGTACCCAAATACTGACTGTCCTATCAGGCAGTGTGTTTTGCTTCTGTCCTGGTTATCTTTACCCTGCAGAAAGCAAAGAATGACACTGGGTGACTTGCATACTTTGGCCCCGACTGGACTTTGATCAAATCACTCTCACAAAAGATTATTTTGCTATTAACCTGAGCTGAACCACAAAATAAAAGAAACAATGTGGGTGGAAGGACTGAAATGAGTCCCAAACTGTGCACACAAGTTTATTTAGACTGATCATTGCCCAACAAGTCCAGCACGGTTTACTCTTTACATGGTTCAAGTCTCTGCAGTTGACTGGACATACTGACCTGCTCAGACTGGCTGTCATTGATTTTCTTTTCAAAGTGGAACCACAGTTTTGTTTGTCACGTGGTGGCATTCACCTCTATACACACACATTGCAAAGTACATATTACTCAATAATTAGGTCAACATGAAATTGCAGAAGTTTTTTCTGATTGTATAACACGTTTAAGTCACTGCAGCAGGGTCAGAGCTGACCTAAATGTTAATGATAACATACTTAGCTGAACCAAACTATGGACCCACTGACAAACCCTTAAAGCTGCTGCAGACATGGTCTAAAACATTAAAGTAGTCAAGGGTTGAGAGCTCGAATAGTTAATGTGAAAACATCCTGTAAGCACAAGCATTTGGACCACATTGAAAAAGAAAAAATATTACAGAATTGGAGAATAAAGTCATAAATATTAAGAGTATAAAACTGTAAGAACACAAAGTTGTAGTTTTATAAGATTACAGTCCTATTGTTATGAGGAAAAAAGTTGTACATTCATTTTAAAAAGTCACACTTTTAGTGGTATTGAAGCTCTATGTATGACAGGGTAGAAGATGAAGTCATCATATTATAAGAAAAAAAGAGGTAGTTAGGTTGTAATATTACTGGAACAAAGTGGGAATTAGAATTGTAAAGTTATACTTAATTTCATTGTTAAAATAAGCTGAATACCCAGTATACTTTTACCATTTCAGCACCACATTGTCGCAAGTATCAGGATTCAGGATCAATTGTGCAAGAAAGTGAGTCTGTTATTTAAAAAAAGTAAACTAATAGGAAGCCAGTGCTTACTTGCACAGCCACTGTTTGTCTTCAGCTCTCATTCACAGGATGATTTAAGTTTCTATGAAGGCAGCTGGCTGCTCTTTTGAAGTCCTCTTATACAGATCAATCACAGCCTGTAGTTATGTCTTCTTTGTTTTAAAATTACATCTAAATTCTTATAAAACCAGACCTTTATAACTATCTTCATATTATAGTTTAACTTCACAAGGGCTTTATTCTCATAATAAAACAACTTTAATCTTGTTACACAACAACTTGAATTACTTATGACTTTGTTCTCACAATATTTTCAAATTCACTCTGGAAATCTTTATTTTTTCCTCAGTATGGCCCTATGACTCTGTTGGATGTTAGAAACACTGTAGCTGTGCACCCTTTGAAGCAATCACTCAATCTGATGAGAAGTTACACTGATTACAGTTGATTGAACAATCTTAACCTAAAACATCTTTTACACTGACCTGATTTTGTTTCCTCAAAATAGTGTTGGTTTGATTATCTGAGTAGATTGATGCTTTTAAAAATATGTTAAACATTTTAAACACTTCATAGAGTTTTGAAAATATATTCTATAAATAAAGATTATTAGCACTCATTATTATAGTTATTAACGCAGCTAAAAAGTAGCTCCTCAGATGTAGTAATAACACTGCAGTGTTATTAAGTGTGAGCGCTGCCTTTTTAAAATTCATTAAATCCGTCCTATAACACTGTCAAAGACCAAACCATGATGCAGTTTGCTTCAATTTGGATGATGTCCTTTTCTTTCACTTCCTCGTGCGAACCCTGACCCCTTAGAACAGAAAGAAAAGGTTGGGGTACTTTTTCAACTTATGAAGTAGGATAATCCTTCAAAACCCTAGTATGTCATCAGTATACTTGATACATTGATATAAACACTAATACCACCAGCTTGTCAGCAAGATATACTAAGAGTTCAGCAAAAGGAAAGAATAGTAATTTGTCATGTCAAAGCACATTATAGCACATTATGTTGAATACCAACACTACAACATACATGCCCCCCCCCCCCCCTCTCTGTTTGATTTGGGGGAAGAGCTTCATCAACCCCACAGGCTTTAAAAACAACTGGGGCTTCTACTCTCTGTTTATGTGGGTCACAGGACAGAGAGAGAACAGAGGTAAGAGCTTCTTTATCAATTACAATACCTCTTTTATTTTGAAAAGCTCAATATGAAGTACATTTACCTACATTTACCAATATTTAATAATATTTTGTCTTTCCAGGGAGTAGAGGTTTTTTTTTTAATCTTAATTATTTTTCTGTCAGAAATATTACTGTTGATTTAAAAAGTCCCCTTTAACTAATAATCATACATTTTAATGTTTGTTTATGTGATACTTTAGGACAGTTGATACAGTTTGCATTAAGTTGTGAGGTAAAATTCAAGGGTTTCCACAGCACACTTTTATGTTTTCAAACTGCATTACTGAGATTGTTTGCACATACGCTGATAAACGGATCAAAATCAAATTGATGAATTCATGACTGAATTTTAAAACAATCATACTACTCTTCTTCATCATCTACGTTTCTGTCTTCATCTGTTTTGTTTGTGCATACAGTTCAGCCAATGAGGCTGTTAATAACTGTCCCAGCCTCTCTTTGTCTCCTTGCCTGGCTGTCCCTTTGCCCCGTGACATTCTTCCCTCTGTTTATCACATAATAACAAACTCTTTTTTTCGCAGATTATTTCCACATGTGATGACAAAGACAATGAGGTTTACTCTTTTAATTATTCAGAGATCAGACTGACCGAAGAATTGGTTCAGGGTCTGTGTGTGTATGTTTTTTTTGGGGGGGGGGTGGCAACCAAAGACCAGAGCTGTTTTTATTTCCCAGCACACGTGCTGCCCTGCTCTGCTGAACTCATGATTGCAGCCTATAACATTAAGTTTAAGGGGCGGGGGATACTTCAAAATCTAAGGTTTTATGCAGTCCCCAGATATTTGCCCCCATGTTCAAGGTGTAAGGTGCATGGATGTTTAAAAAGACTACATGTAGCACCTGTGTGTAATTGCACAGAAGATTTTTTGGCCATTTTGCATGTTTCCTTATTCCTTAAATGTTTTCCTGTCAGGTCCAGCCAGGGAGGCACGATGCGCTCCCTCTTGTTGCTGTGGCTATGCACGGCCCTGCCAGATCTGCTTTGGGCCTCTCACGTCAGCCTGATTGTGGAGGGGGACAGTAATGCATCCAGTATCTGTAAACCTGCCCCCCACTGGGAAATAAAAGGACAGGCACCCATGCAACCGCTGCTGGGAAATGTGGTTGTGGTAGCACTGCTGAAGGCCAGCTGACAGTTCTGTCTCACTCAGGCCTCCAAGTAAGGAAGAGTTTGGCTGACTCGGTTTGCTCTGGTTTTGTTTGCATGCCATGACTGAGGGAGAGCAGAAGACATATCAACTATGTCTTGTTTAAAAGCTATTCAACAGTAAAAATTAAACGTCAAGCTCATGGAGGACTCTAAGAATATGAGCACTTAAAAAACAGGCAATAAATGTCAAAGTAAAAATTGAGCTTTTCAAAGTTATAGATTAAACCCTAAAAAAATGACTCAACTCTTTGTCATGACATTACTGAAAAGCTTTCTTTATGACTATTCCATGAACACATTTTTATTTATTTGTGGAGTAAGTGGCCACAGCTCAAAAACTGCCGAAAATCTCTCTTCTAGGCTTGAATGGCAAAATAGATACAGCTGTAGAATTCAGCGCTGTCATATTAGATTTCTACCTAACATTTATCATCACCATAGAATATCAGGTTAACAATATTACTGTGATATTTATGGAAAAGTTGAAAACAGCTCAAATTAAGGAAAGGAAGAGCAAGGGTGCACTGTAAAAAATAGTTTTATTTTATGAAGAAACACTGTGTTTTTATGGCTTGAATACAGTAATTTGAAGTTAAATTAACAATAAATTGATGGATGTTTTTCTGGTCAAAGCACATGTATTTTATGGTTTGCTACTGAATTTAATTTAAATTTTAACTGTAAAAAATGAACAGGTCTGATGTCCCTTTACCATTAAAGCAAAAAAAAAAAAAAAAAAAAAAAAAAGGTTGTACTGTGTTTATCAGAGTAAAGTTCTGGACACCCAGCTGCCATTTTTACTAAAAAAAAAATCAATTTCTTTACAGTGTGGTAAACAGTTTGTGTTTATATTACTTCATGAAATTAACAAGTGCAATTAACGTATATATGAAGCATCCATTTCTAATATTTAAATTTATGATTAATCATCAACCCTGTGACAAAACTTCTTTAGAGAAGAAATAATTATTAAACATTTAACATTATGCTTTTATTTTAGGTGTCTCAGTTATTTTCAGCACAGTCAAACTATGCTTTTATTTTAAAGTTTACTACTTTTGGTAGATCTTAGGCTACAGAGTGGAAAGAAAACGGTTTGAAGGGGTTAGAAAGTATAAAGTTTTATTGATTAGTAACCTGAAGATGCACATGCTCTATCATCGTCTTTGGATTAATGTAACATCTTGAACATCAATTTTAGAAAGTGCAGAATCACCTGCTTCTGCAAGCTTAACTAGCTCTTTGTCCTATGTTTTATGACACGAGGCAACTAGCATCAATGACCACGACTTGAAACTACCATTTCATAAGACTAGTCAACACCAGTATATTGCGACAATTCTATTTAAAAAAAATGAAGGACTTAACTGCTGGTTTACTTAATTTGTTACATAGTGCACCCCATGATGAGCAGAGTGTCCGCGAAGTTTATGGCCCCAGTTTGATTTCAGCTTACAGCTCTTTGCTGCGTATCAGTTCCAGTTGCCCCTTTAAAGTTTCCCACACCATCCACTGACCTGTCTTTGAACTGAAAAGGCTGAAAAGCCCAAAAATAAATTTAAAGGAAGAGAAATTAAAGGACTGTGAATGAGGTTGCCTTACAGGTTATTAAAAATTATTAAATAATAGATGCCACAGTGTTTGGATTAGCAGTCTTACATTGTAATTCACAGTGTCTCTTTCTGTCCCTCTGAAGAATTGGAGGCCTGCGTGAAAAGCTGAACCGCAGCAACCTAACTGAGGTGTCCTTTATGATTGTAAATGAACGTGACGCTCATTCAAGAGCCATGTACTGGGAGCTGAAGAGGAGAGCGCCTTCCGGTGTTCCTGTGTATCAGCAGGCTCCATTACAGGCTGACGTGTGGGAAGCTCTGGATGGAGACAAAGACGACTTCCTGGTTTATGATCGGTAAAGCAAGTACTCTTCTAAAGACATGGACAATTTAGATTAATTTAAATATCCCAGACTGGCAAGTTTCAGATTTTACGTAAAATTAGAAACTATAATGCTGGAATTTTTCCCAACACTCTGGTGGTTTCAGATTATAAACTGGAGACTACACTTTTGAAAGATCAGAACCTCAACAATGATTTTATATCAACATGCAACCAGAAGATGAAAACACAACTTATCATACATCTCACAAAAATATATATTTTTTTAAAATAGAGCTTTAAATGTTTTTACTTTTCTTTCTCTGTTCTCTTTTTTTCTCCAGATGTGGACTGCTCACCTTCCATATTGTGCTGCCTTACAGTTTTCTGCATTACCCCTACATAGAGGCCGCCATCAGAGCCACATACAAAAAAGACATCTGCAACTGCACAGTGAGTCACAACATGCTCCTGCACAAAAAGATGTTTGCACACAAAGGGTTATGAATACCTGCGACAACTGCATCCATCATCAACATCAAGTGATTTTTAATACTTTGAATACATCTCTCATTTAAAGCCCAATCACATGAGAATTATATTTCTCATATGTTTTGCACTAATAGTCACTTTTATGGATGTGAATTACTCACAAAGTGAGTTATTTAGTAGTTATTTTCACACTTTACATTTTTTGCAACTGGAAAAAAATGTTGCTGACTCATCCTTTATTTGCAGTGTACTCACTGAAAATCAACTGTAAGGCCTCCTAAAATGTGTATGTCTCTTCTGTATGATGCACAGGTTGTATAAGCTTGTAAGCAGCTATGGTGCATTGCTGTGACTGAATTTAAATGCTTTTACATTCAGTGCTTTTAACTGCTGTGAATCCCAGCAGTCAGAACTTGGGCATCATCATAACTGCTGACCAGATAACCCTTTTGGCTCTCAAGACTTTAAATGCTCCTGTAACCAGTGTTGCTCCAGTTACTTTTTAAAAGTAAATTGATTGCTGATTACTCCTTTAATTGCTTGATTTAAAAGTAACTTAGTTAGAAAACAAGTTACTTTTTAAGTTACATTCAGCAGCCTCAACACGACCATTTTCTTTCCAACACTCACTTTATTAGAAGTGACATTTTAACAGGAATGTCAAAAAATACATGTTTTAAAAATAAATAAATAAAAATAAAGACAGTCTTTCCTGACTGACAAAACATAAGCTTTTTTTTTTCTTTTTTCAATAAAGCATAAAATAAAGTCAGTCTTTAAAATAGTGGCTGTATTTCCAGCTTGAGAACACACATCTCTCTCCTCCCGCCATTGTTGCTTATGTTTGTGGCTGCTTTATGTGCACTCATGTGTTACAGGTAAGTGGTCCTCATGCTGAAAACGTGACTTGTTACTACCTACGTGACTGATGTCTCTCTCTTTTTTTAAAGGAAAATTAGAAAAAAGTCACGCACACAGTGACTTGGACACGTAACTTAAATTTAATTGTTGGTTTGGAAATAGCAGCGCGTTAGATGACTCGTCACTGAAAAAAGTGGACTTATTAGAGTAGCGTGTTACTAAGTAAGGCATTACTGGCATCACTGCCTGTAACATCAGGAAGATCAGACCCTACCTGTCAGATCATGCAACACAGCTCCCAGTACAGGTTCTCATAATATTACATAGTGGCTACAGCAACTCCTTACTTGCAGGCAACGTTATAAAAAGCTTTTCAAATCAAAAGAAGAGAAACGTAAGGAATACAGTGACTGGATATTTAAAAGCTGTAACAGAATAGTGATGACTGAACAACTCAAGGGATATATGAAACAGACAAATAGAAAGAAAGAAATAAGATGCATAGTAATGACAGAAATGAAAATAAACCTTTTATTCTTTGACTGCAAACTCTGCCTTCATTCATTTACTCCAGTTTGCTGTTGTTTTTGTTTTTTCTAACTGAAGTGTCACAATTGCTACACGTGTCAAATTTGCATCTGAAACAGCATGACAAAGTTATGTATCATTGTTGTATTTCAGGGGTTAATGTTCTGCTCTCAAGTGGTCAAAATGTGCTCAAAGCAGTTTTGAAGTCCTAAACTAGAACTTAACTCTAACCTGTTTTTCCCTTAGGCTAATTATACATTATCAAGCAGCAACAGTGGCGCAACACCTCCAAGTCCGGTGGACGATGATGACCCCGGGGTGGAAGACATCCCTCCCAGGCTAAGTCACAGCCACCACCCTCACCACCACCACCATAGTCACCATGATCAGTCCCAGCATGACGACCATCAGAATCAAACTGTCCACTATCATAATCATCACCATAAGCATGTTCATATTCATCATCATCATGGTGACTAACTGACTAAGATACTCATTGGACACTCACGCTACATTTACATGGCCGCCATTTTCCCCTGACGTCATGCTCAGGTGTGACACAGAATTTCTGTTTTAAATAAATAAATTGTTTTACTTTTAAGAAAAGGCTGATCTCCCTCCAGATTTCCGCTTTCCGTTGTCTTGTAGTTGCTGACTGATCACGAGGAAGTAAAATATCTGTAAGGTTTCTAAGATATTTTATGATAGTTAGTCTGAAACCGCTGTAAGACATGATAGCATTTAAGTTACTGACTCTCAGCAAGGCACCAAGAGAAACCTCTTCCAGTGTGTGTAAATATTCAGATTAGTCAGTGTTTTTCTAGCTTTTTCTGCTTTAGCTGAGCATGGCTTGTACAATATTTGAATTTTGGTTAAAATATTCACTCTGTGGCATTCACTTAGTTGAAAATGTGTTTAAGCATTAGTCAGCTTGTGGTTTCTCTATCAGTGTGTTCTTACCTCTCTCCTCTGTGTGGATAATGTCACCCGTCCTTCCTTGTCTTCTCCCATTAATGAAGTCTACAGTGAAAAACCTGCTGCAGGAGGCTGTGGATGGATGTGCGTGGAGAGACTGAATGGACTGGCTGTCTTAGTCAAGCAGAGAGAGTCAGAGGATGTAGTTCACAACTAGAGAGAAATTAATGGTTGTCTTTCTGTCTGGAAACATTTTCCTCTTTTTTCAGTGTCTGCCTCTGTAAGTTTTTCTTGCTGTAACATCAGGAGGTGAGAAACCCTGCTGCTATACAACAGTTAAACCTGCATACTTTCATATATTTGAATGAACTGACATTTTATCACTTGACATGTCATGATGTTCAACATGTCGTATCACTGGCTCATATTGCACATTTCTGCATTTACCACATGTTGTAATAACAGCTTTAAATAATGTACTTTAAACTAACTTGCTCAATATAAATGGATATCTATGACTCTAAAATGTTCAATTTAAGCTGTCTTTAAACAACTTAATAAAGAATGTATCCCTTTACATCTGTGCTTCTGGTGTCATGTGATAGAAATGGTCTTTTGTGATAGGTCAATGTGGAATAAGTGAACAGAAAACTAAAACTGTGCTCATCAATGCAGATCATAATATCAATTTATGCAAGTCTGTCTTGAAATGAGTAAGTTACAGGACAGGTGGATCGAAACATTTTTGGTTAAAAATACAATTCAGAGTAACAGAGACAAATCAATCATAAATCAATTTCAATCTAAAGGGGGCTAACAAGGTGAGACTGGAGGAGCCTGTTAACGCTAAAGCCATGTGTTTGTGTCATCAAATTTAGATTATGGGGCTTGAATATTGTCATTGTGTTATAGTGTGTACCAGATTGATGGCATGTAAATGTTACCAGTCCAACAAATGATGTCAATTTCATCACCCTCTGATAGATAAGAGCAACAAAAACAGTGTGTAGAGAAAAAACAGAGACAAACACTGAACTGTATTTTACAGCTCCTGTGAGGACTTTACTGTTGTTCATGAAATAGACCAAAATTCTTAATGATGCCTTTTTGTGATACAATAAGTGACAAGACTTCAGATTTTTATACTATCATTTCCAGTACAGTGCCCAATTTAGATGTAAAGTGTAAGTGTCAGCCAAGCAGTGGAAGAAACTCTGAAGAAGTTTCAACATCAAATATTTACAAGAATATACAAATATTTTACAAATATTTATAGAATTGTCACACTCTGCTGTGTATCTCAGGCTGACTCTCACTCACCTGCCACACCTCACCCCTGCCACACCTCCTCATCAGCACTGATTCCCCACACCTGTGAGTGACAAGCTGCAGCTCTTCAATGCTGATTAGCCAGCCAGCATTTAAGTCACTCTGTGTCCCTCAGTCAGTGCCAGATTGTCTTCGCAGCATGCACGACTCTCCAGCAGTATTTCTTGGATTGACTTCTCAGTTTCGACTCCTGCCTGTCTCTGACCACGTCTTATCGTCTCAGCCCTTGGATCCCCTGTCAAGTTTCTTCGCTCCGGTGAGAACTTCAGGTTTTGCTGTGTTGCTGGCTTCCCGACCTACTGCTTGGACTTGGAGAATCTACAGAGACTGCTAAATCAATCCCAGTATCTTCAGTTTCCTGTTGGCTGTGCTCTGTTGCAATAAAAGTAGCTTCTAAACGACTACCTGCTGTTGTGCTGCACTTGGGTCCTACATCCACACCCCTGACAAGAATAAAACTTCTCTGTCCACAGGAGGCACCAAAAGTGAGGACTGTGGATCAATCGAAGATGAGGGTGCAAATATATTAGCCTCCAGCTACTGTAGCATCCTGCTGCTACAGTAGTATATAAGTCCTGCTTTTCACAAAAGAGGTTTCAAATCATTAAATCATACCACTTTGCCAGCAGGTGATCAACTGTCCAAAAACGGCAGATTCTGCCTATTGACCGAAAATATCTTTCTCCCAGAAAATCCTAAACATCACTCAAGCTCAACACTGTTTAACTCGCTGTTGTGGCCACATTTCTAAGAGCACAGACGTGAAAAACACATCATTGTATTTTTGAGGATCTCAGGATTCCTACGATGTTCTTATTTTCATTCTGAGATTAAAGGAAATGGCGCTATGTAAAGAATTCAGAGGCTCTAAATTCACTGCTGTAAGTCAGCTTCTCATTCAAACACTTGGTCAGTTGGTCATTTGATCTCTAACAGCTGTTTAGAATGCATCAATTAACCAGACACACACACACACACACACTCTGACAATGGCTGTGTCTCATTTCAGAGACTGCATACAGCTAAGCGCGCTCAGCTGAGCACACTGTTATTATGTGGACTTAAAGACCCTGGGTGAGATGGTCAGGTTTTTGTGAATTGGGACAGTCTACCCTGTGGAGGACTTTCTGGCTGAGTCGCCAAATGTCCCCGCCCTCAGGCTCGTGTCACGACTGACTTGAAGATTAGCCGCGGAGCAAGGCAGTTATTTTTTAATAGTGCAACCTTGCACAGACACAAAACAATAGATACATTCAAGCACAGATCATTTCCACAAAATTCATCAAATGATTGCATATTTTGCATATAGGAGTATAATGGCCATATTGAGAATTTTTTTAAAGACTTTGACATTAAAGTCGTGAATTTACGAGAATAAAGTCATAAGGTTACCTGTTATTTCAAAGGAGAATTGTTAAAATTAGGGCCATGAAGCATCTGAAGGAACTATGCTTCAGTATAGGCCAAGAAAGCATGCATAAATGCATGCTTGAAAAAGGGGTGGGGGCAGTGTGGTTTTGAGATCGCATTTGAATGGGACACCGTTAGCGCCGTGTGATGACATCACGCACACTTGAAATGCACCATTCGATGGTGCAGTCTCACTAAGGGATGTATTTAGGATTTTGATAATAAATTGCAAGCTCCTATGAATAAAGTCGTTACAGAGGAAGAGCATCAGGGCATAGTTGGAGAGTTGTTTCCTGAGCTTCAAGCCTCCTTTATCCTGCTGTAGTGATGCGTCTACCTTCCACATGGCAACCCATTAGAGCACCTGGAGACACACAGCTGACTGGAAAGCTGCTTCTAATGGTCATATGAGACACATGAATCCAGGCTCAGTACACAGAGCACCTTGTTGATGTACCATCAGTAATAATGCATTGTTCAATTCTTCAAACCAATTTAAGCTGATTCAGAGCCATTCAAACCTTTCTGATACGTCAAAACTGTCTTATACATTAGGACTTTGAATTATATAAATTTTCCCTGTTTTAAAATAGTTTTGATATTCAAGCATTATTCCATCCTTCAAACAAAATCCCACTTCTACTACAACTACTGCTAATATCAATGAAACTAGTACTTTGACTTTTACTTCAACTACTATTACTACTATTTCTACTTTCTCTACTGGTACTGCTACTTCTACCATGAGCTCTACTACTTTGACTTATACTTCTTTTATTCTCAAACTACTTCTACTGCTTACATGACTACTAATATCACTACTATGACTACTTATCATAGTACTACTAGAACTACAACTTAAACTTATGCCACTTCTCACCTTCCTGCCTTTTAAGGCAATTTCCTTCTTCATTCAAACTTTGTGCACTTTCAGACATTTTTCTGGCCTCTTTCAGCATTAATAAAATTTCAATTTATGGAGCATATTCATACTATTTGTCCTTCAACCATTTTCACAATTATCCAACTTCTACTTCTTTTTCACCCCTTCAACAGCTTTTACATTTATACCTTTTTTTTATTATTAGAAGTTTAGCATTGCTTTTATCCGATTTCAGCACTCAGCATTTCCACGCATTTTCTGCAAGTAAATGCGATTTTTCTAGTTATTATTATTATTGAAAACTTGACAAATTCATTTACCGATTTAGTGATTTAATTATGTCTGTACATAATTAGGGTTTCTCATCTCACAAGATTGAGGTGTTTATCACCGATAGTGAATGTAATAACGGTGTTATGATTTCACAAGTGAGTCATCTAGGTGGTGACTCAGTCAAATGATGAGGTTGTTATCATAGTAACAAGCTGTATCTTTCATTTTTAATCAAGGTGATTTAAAATCCTTCACACAAGATATAAATAGAATCATGCCAAAGGTCAGAAAAGTTTGAAAGGAGAAATTTGAAAACCACTAACTATTAAAACTATTAAATAGGCAAAACAAAGAAATGATAAAACAACGAATACAGAGGGTTAAAAATACTGAGACATTTTGAATACAGGCAGAGAATTTACAGTCAGTGTTGATTAAAAAAAAATTGTTTGTTGGAAGACTTTGAGAAAAGTTTGGCAAATGTTTATGTGTGCACACATTTGAATGTAAGGGCAGGGTGATTCATTGATTGTATGGCTGGCGTCGTAAAGACAGAAGAAAATAATTTGTGTTTTAGTGGAAAAAAAAAACGTGGCGTAAATGGTGTAATAATAAATGCTATTGATGATAAAGATAAATCTTGGTAATTTTGTTAATGTGTCGAAACCAAAATAACCCATTGGTTGTAGGATCTTAGGCCCTAGTTAATTCAAACTCTAATTAAATATTAAAATCATGAATTAAAACAGCTATGCTCCAATTACTGACAGAAACAGTAAAGTAGTTATTTCTGATCACATTCCAGTTAATTAAAACTCTTGGAGGGATTATGCAGGCAGTTACTTGACCTGGTACACTGTAACAAGGAAACAATCTGCCATATGTCACACACACACACACACACACACACACACACACACACACACACACACACACACACACACACACACAGGTGGATTACCTCAGTGCTGCTTAACACATGGCTGAGATGCAGCAAACTCTGACTGACGAGAGCTGAGGAGAACTAATATCAACAACCACCATCAGAATGAAGGTAAGGTCACCATTTTAACATTTTAACAGAAACAACTGTGAATACTAAATGTTGACTGGTTGTAGTTTCCTTGATGATTGCCTGCAAACTCGATGTACAGAGTGTGTTTATGCACCGGACAGAATAAATAGTCAAGTATCATGACTGTTTGCTATTATGGCTAAATCTTGTAAACTGTATTGCTTCATTGACTCTTGCCTTTAATTTTATGATTTATTGAATGCCTATATACAGCTTTAATCCCCAAAGACTTCATGTTTCTTGCTACTGTGCTCTCTAGATTTACTTAGGCTATATAAGCGCTGTGATTCTTACGCAATAAACCTGAGCAGGTTGCACTGTTAGGGATTGTCCAGTAAATCCCAGTGAGGAAGCTACTGGAGAGGCTAAACTGCTTAAGCCTGTTTCCACAACAAAAACAGTAAATAAATAAATAAATAATGCTTTCACTGGCCTCCAGAGCTTGGGCCTTACATTTCTAGAAAAACAAAATTGACTTATAACACCCATCTCCATCATGTCGGATCATTTTGTGACAGATTTAAGCAGGTATAAAGTGCCAATTGACACTCTGAATGGAAAACGCTGAACCCAAGCAGGAAAATGAAAAATTCAAGATATTCTCACCCACAGTCTTAACGAAA